ATTCCCCAGCCAGCATGGGGAATTCTGGGAGTTGAAGTCCACACATCTTCAAGTTGCCAAGGTTGAGAAACATTGATCTAGGCAATCTCCCCTGCAGAAAATCATAACAGGGAAACAAACCAAGGGGAACCACCTCTGGTTCCCTCAAATCCTTAGGTGTCAGCCCTGGAGCTTCTCCCAAAGATTCTGGCAGAATAATAATACGATGGTGGGAGGAGAGGAATTAAATACATGGGAATAGTCCCATGAACTGTGTTTCATCATTTCTATTTAAATTAAAACCAAGTTAAATTACTGTAATCCAGCTTTGCCAAGTCTGAAAAAATTCTCTGTTGTATCCAAAATCCAGAAAGGTTGGACATATAGGTACAGTGACCATATGTCCTTTATTATAAAGGACAATCCTTTAGATTTATTTAATTATTTTCTTAGTTTTGCTCTTGAATTTTCCTTTGTAAAGTGAAGCTATAAACATTTTTTTTAATCCTTAAGAACCCCCGTCAGATTTGCCCCTTTTTCAGGTTTGCCCTTTATTTTTTCCAAGAAAATATGGTCACGGTACATATAAGGAGAAGTAGATACTCCATAGTGTGTTCCTGTTGTAATTTATGGGTTGAGCTAATTTGGTGGATTTTTTTATTTTATTTTATTTTATTTTATTTATTTAAACATTTGCCCCCTTGCAAACGTCTTTGGCAAGGGTGACTGAAGCCCCCTTTAGATTGTGGGAGTCGTTTTTTCTTTCAGTTTTGTGATTTTTGCCAACTTTTCTCTTTTGGAGGGGGTCGTTTCCTTGCTTTTAAATGTTTTTGACAATTCCCAAACTGTCTATAGTTGCTGGGAGTCAGGCGGCGGCTTATTGTTGTTGTTGTTGATTGCACAGTCAGCCAGATGTTTAGACTGGATTTGGCATTTTTATCCACCTATCAGGTCCTTCCCAAGGACCTGGGATACACTCATTATCATTATCATTATCATTATCACTGAGTTGACTCTAGTTAGCAAACAAAAGTTAAAACTAGAAAAAATAACAAGGAATGCAATAAAACAATATATAATATATGCCATAAAACAATGTACAAGAATCATAATAGGAGCTATAACACAGCACATCCCTGGGGTAAAATAAATCAATAAATAATAACTCTAGTACGATCACTGAATCAGTGCCTAAACAGCCAGCCAGTGGGGCTTCCTTAATCACCCAGCCCAAATGCATGAGGGAACCTTCAGGTCCTCAGCGTTTTGCAAAAGACCAACAGGGCTGGGCCATCCAGACCTCCAGGGGAATGCCGTTCCACAGGGCAGACACAGCAACAGAGACCCGTTTTTCCCTGAAGCTGGAAAACAACGAACTAATCATTCATTCATAACACCCTAAGATGTTCCATGAGCTAGCCCAACTTAACTTCCCAGGATGAATTGAGGCATTTGCATACAAGGTCTTTGCCCTGCGGTTCCAGCATCAGCTCCTGACCTGAGCGATCCCACCTTCTCTGTGTTCAGCAGCTGAGCTGATTTAGTTCCAGCTCAGCTTTGATGCAATTGCAAATCACAGATGGTGTTTGATTTTTTTTTTTCTTTTGTGGTGAGTTCTGCTCTGCAGAGCTTTTGGGCAGCCACTGGCCCATTGACAGTAGCTCTCGACTCAATCCACCTCCCAGATCTTGGGTTCAAATGAGCCTCTCTTCCTTCCCCATAGAGGTTCAGCTGTTACAGCATCACACTGAAACACTACTAATTCACAAGTATTTTCAGAGCAACAGAGGGATAGTGCCTGGATATTCTTGTAGCTATCCCTCATAGAAATCTCTCAATTTTATTTATTTTTTGCAAGTACAAAGTAGTTCTCGACTTAGGAGCAATTGTTTAATGACCATTCAAAGTTACTACAGTGCTTAAAAAAGTGACTTACAACCAGTCCTCACACTTATGACCATCACAGCGTCCTTCCAGTCACATGATCAAAATCCAGGCGCTTGGCAACCAGCATGTATTTATGATGATTGCAGCATCCTGGGGTCACATGATCACCATTTGCAACCTTCCCAGGGGGCTTCTGACAAGCAAAGTCAATGGGGGAAGCCAGATTCGTTTAACAACCTTGTGATTCACTTAACGACTGTGACAAAAAAAGTCATAAAATTGGGCACAACTCACTTAACAACCATATCACTTAGCAGTGGAAGTTCTGGTCCCAATTGTGGTCGTAAGTCGAGGACTACCTGTACAGATGTATATAACATAAACTAGAAATGTAATCTAGGGGAGGACTATTGACTATTATGTTCTTTGCATTCCCTTTGTGATCAGTTGGAAACTGATGTGGGTGTTTTGAAATTATCAGCAATAGAAACCACCAGGAATTGGCTTCAAACCACTTTTGAGGGACTTGAGAGCAGAAACATGCAGTATGAAAATGTTCCCAGAAAATGTATGCGCCAATTATTTCTCTGGGATCATAGGCCCTGGAGTTAGGAGAGATAATATTACAGAAGAGGATAGGGGCATTCAGGCAAAATAAATGCTAATATCTTACTGGCCTGCCTAGTTTTTAAATTCAAGAGAGACTTTAATTCACAAAGTGAAAAGGAGAGTCATTCTGAGTCCTTTCTGGTTGCCTGCTTTGTTCTGCCTAACAAAACCAGCCACTGCAGCTGTCTCAGTCCTGGTCTTATAGGGGAGAGGTTCACAATTTATTGTCTCCCAAAGCTTTGAGTGTTTCCTCATACCCTTCCTTAAGTGGGTGCTAAATACATATTTTCGATGTGAGATTGAGATAAACTAATAAACACACTGGGAGTCGTTGCAGTAACTGCATTTTAATGAAATGTACTCTTTGTTCTGAGCTGAAGAAAAGGTTTGCAACATCTAGGACAACAGAAAAAAGAGGGGGATTTCCCAGATCTTCTTCACTGACTCATATAATATTTTGTGCTGTCCAATTAATCTCTCTCTTGATGGCAAGAGATATGGCCACACCCACTACTGCTCTACTTGTTTAAGGGCTTCAAGAAAAATCATTTTGTTTCTGAACCCTAAGGTTTTGTGCACTACAAACATGGAACCCCACAAGTCCTAGCCAAACATCACGGGGATCCACTTTCTGACTGAGCTCACCTGACAACCAATGAGAGTCAGGGCTGTCAAAGTTCACTACTCATTAAGCTGAGTGACAGAGCACTTTTTCCCAGGTGCTCTTAGCCAATTGGAAGATGAACCCCAATAATTATATGGAATAGAGGCGGTGAACCCTAGCAGTCCTAACCAGTCAGGATCTACAACTCACATTCCTGGGGCCTATGGGCGAGGCAATGTGCTACTCCCCAGCCAGGGCAAATATACCTCTTCATCCCTAAGAAAAGTAATCTGGGTGAAGCCAGGACACAGAAGGAATTCCTGCTGGAAACTGCAGAAGGACTGAACTGACGGAAGATGGGAGGCAGAATCTGGATCATGATGCTGCTCGCAATCGGGGTTGAAGGGCTAATCCGGTGAGATAATGCAAGATGATTATTGAACTTGGGACTGCAATGGGATGCCTAGGAATTTTGATTCCCATAGAAGGTAGGATAGCCTCCTTTAGTTTCAGATGCTCCAGGTGGGCTGGATCAGCACTTCCCAACTTCCTAGCTAGCATGGCTCTGAATTCTGTCAGCTGAAGTCCCCACCCATGTGGAGGGCATCAGCTTATGGGGGAATTTATAGGCTTGTGGCTTGAGGGAGTAGGGACCCTTGATCAGGAAAGAAGGAAATGACTGCAGGGAATTTGAAGAATCAAGATATTGGGGCACAGAGCTTGCCTTTCAAGAAAGAGGTGTGCAACCCACCGACTGTGAACACAGAATATGGGATCTGGGATATCTGGATGTAACTTGAAAAACAGAGTGGCCTAGCAGTTAGAATGGAAGAAAGGAGATCTCTGTAAACTGAACGTAATGATCTTCTCCCACTTTGTTCCTTTCCTTTGCGCTGGCGTACAGGCGGGATCCTGGCTGGAAATTCTGCAACATGTAGTTTCAATAAATCTGGAGCGGACCAGATTGTGGAAACTTAG